TTCTATTTCCAACCCTCTACGCACACCTTGGCAATATAATCGCCATTGGCTAGTAAATATTTTTGTTTACTCACCAGACTGATATACTATTTTACACACACACGTTTACTTAGCTATCTAAATGGGGGCATTACATAGACTTCTATTGTTTTTAAATACAGAAAGTTATACACTTTTTAACCTAAACCCACCCCTAACCCTACTCCTCACAGAAAAGTTTCTGCATTTTTACCATTTCAAAAGATAAAAAAAAAAAACTTTGTCCCCAAAATATGGTTAAGTACACACACACACACACACACATATGATTCCACCCAATCAGCTTATCTTTGTAAAATGGAATTGAATGGCCCAGCCAGAGCCCTGACTTAAACCCAATTGAGCATCTCTGGAGAGACCTAAAAATGTCTGTCCACCAACGTTTACCATCCAATCTGACAGAACTGGAGAGGATCTGCAAGGAGGGATGGCAGAGGATCCCCAAATCCAGGTGTGACAAACTTGTTGCATCTTTCCCAAAAAGACTCATGGCTGTATTCGATCAAAAGGGTGCTTCTACTAAATACTGAGCAAAGGGTCTGAATACTTAGGACCATGTGATATTTCAGTTTTTTTTTTTTAATAAATCTGCAAAAATGTCAACAATTCTGTGTTTTTCTGTCAATATGGGGTGCTGTGTGTACATTAATGAGGAAAAAAAATTAACTTAAATGATTTTAGCAAATGGCTGCAATATAACAGAGTGAAAAATGTAAGGGGGTCTGAATACTTTCTGTACCCACTGTATCTTCTGCTTGTTCTTAAAAGCTGAATAATTCTAAATTAACTCTGTTATTTTGACAGGAAAATACAACAAAGAATATGGTTTACATGGAGCGCGTCGATTCAGCGTGGTATGAAAGACTCTCGCTCTCTCTCTTTGCATGTGTGAGAAACACAGCGCTATCAGTAAAGCGACGGCGAGTCGTGCGCCTTCACTCTAGTTTACGGTGCGTCAGATACAGGTGCGCTGCGTGCTACATACTGCGCATCCATCGAGTACATGACATGATCCATTGAGCGCATCCAACTAGTACAGATCGCTTGACGGAGAGCAAAACTCTCAAGCACTCAGTCAGCGTGTTTATCGAGTGGAAATCCGTGTTGAACGCCTCTCACACACATACTGGCGTGTAAAATCTAAGAATTTATTAGCCAATGGCTAATGTTAGACATTATTTAGTCGCCCAGAGTAAGATTTAGTCGCATATGCGAGTGATTTACTCGCAATGTAGAGGGTTGATTTCAAATAAACAATTTATTGATCATTTAAAAAAAAAAATGATCAGTTTCCAAAAAGATATGAAGCAGCACAACTGTTTTAAACATTGATAATAATCAGAAATGTGTCTTGAGATCAGTAGTCGCATATGCGAGTGATTTACTCGCAATGTAGAGGGTTGATTTCAAATAAACAATTTATTGATCATTTAAAAAAAAAAATGATCAGTTTCCAAAAAGATATGAAGCAGCACAACTGTTTTAAACATTGATAATAATCAGAAATGTGTCTTGAGATCAGTGTATTAGAATGATTTCTGAAGATCACGTGACACTGAAGACTGGAGGAATGATGCTGAAAATACAGCTTTGATCACAGAAATAAATTACATTTTAACATATATTCAAATAGAAAACAGTTGTTTTGAATTGTAATAATATTTACTGTATTTTTGATCAAATAAATGTAGTCTTGGTGGGCACAGCCGACTTTAAAACCATTAAAAAAGGTAGTGCATGACTTGGAATGGCATGGAATATAGTGAACAATTGATGCTTTAACGGTGTTTTGTCACATTTGGTCACCGTAACGCTCTTCAAAATGTCCACAGGACACAAAACATGTGTTATATTAGTTATTTCTTTAGTCTGATAAGCTCACCCTTTCCTTTCACACATTCCTTCAACTCTTCAAGAATTTCTTTGCGCTCTTTAACGCTGGACGACGTGACTTTCACAGCGAATCTCTTCAGTGTGTCTGAAACCTGCCCCTGCAAACACACAAATATCAGCCATCAGACGCTGCTTGCGGAGCGCTGCGGATCAGACACATGCAACCAAATCAAAATCTGGATATCATATTACAGTTCACTATAGTAAACACGGTGACCAACCACAATATTCATCACTCCATTTATTGTTACTATAATAAAGCATGAGTTGACATTGTATTAGTCACCACTATCCTAAAACGACGATAAAAATGACTGATTAAATGCATCATATACTGACAGAAGGATATTCATTCATTATGGCTTTACATTAGTAGTTCAGGCATGGATTACATTTTGCATAAGTGACTCCTTACACAAAGTGATGGCATCAGGTTTGATCAGTTTTATGTAACACAGCATTTTTGCTGTGATATTACAGTGCTATATTAAAAAAAAAAAAACACAACAAACATGGCTTTAACATGATACCATGTCCAGAAACATGGTACTTCTGGCACTTTCTTGTTATTAGTCTGAAGTGAATGTGTGTTTGAGATCAGCAGATGCACAAACAAGTGGGTGACACGTTTAAAAACGTCTCGTTGTCTGTCAAACATAATAAATGTGTGTTATGCAACTGTGCTATCATTAATGTTCTGTTTATCATTGTTAATGCGCCTTCGCGCACTAGCGCGCACGCACAGCGTTTTCTAATGTATCTGAACATCACGCTCTCGCAGATCATGCATCATCTTCTTTGAAAGCTCATAAGAAAGTGGTGAGATACTGAAGAAAAGTTAGCGTTTAATGTTCATGCAGACACGGATCGAATCACACCAACCTGCGTGTCCGCCGCCATCTTGCCGGCCTCGATCTGGAAAGGATTTAAGTCGTCACTTCCGGAGTCATTACCGTCCTCGGCCACGTGCTTCTGCGTAGCGCTTCTAGTGGGCGCAGCAAACGTTCTTCTTCTTCTTCTTGAAATTTTATTGGCGAAATATTGTATGTCCGCCACCAACTGGAATGGAGGCGCACCAAACGTTCAACAGGCCCGCAACTTTTAAGCATAAAAGTATTTTTTCCCTCATTTTCAGCAAATTATCAGTGAAGTAAATAATCAAAAAATCTATTTAAATTGTCTATCCATTTTATGAAGTTTTTAGCATAAAAGAAACATTTTTTACTAAAAAAGTACAAATAAATAAATCTGCCACAAATTAAACGGTTACAGCTACACACAAAAGTATCGCAATATTTTAGAAAATTAAACCTAATTCTGTACAAAAACAATTATGCATATATTTAGCCGTTTACGTCAAAAATGTGATACTGTTATATGCTTTTATGTCAATAGGTCTGAAAAACTATACAATAACCAAACATTTTAAGCCGTCTATTCCCTTTCTAAAGTTGTATTTATAAATAAAAAGCTACAACAAAATCTAGCCGTCAATTATAGGAATCAATCCAATGTGGGAGAAAATTAAGATTTCCCATAAATTAAACCGTTAGGCTACAGTTACACACAAAATGTGAAAATTAAAACTAATTTGCTACAAAAATATTGAATATATATATATTTAGCAGGTTATGTCAACACTGATATTGTTATATGACTTTAATTGTTAGATACAGCCAAAAAGATTTAAAAGATTCTAGGCAAAAATATTAATTTAATAATAAACAACATCAGGAGGGAAAAATACTCCGTGCATTAAAACGCCACATTTATTTGTATATAATTGCATGAATTGAAACAATAACCAATACTCACAGAATAAAATGGGACAGTGTTACAAGAGGGGGGAAAAAAATATGCATAGCTGATTTCACATTGGGTAAATGATCATATTTGCAAAGGGACACTAAAATAACGACTGATGAACAGAAATAGAAAAGCATCAGATCAATTAATATGATAGAAAATCTCAAAATGAACAAAGGCACAACATTCGACCAGTGTAAATGAGTGATTAAAACACATTAGGATATCATATGATTTCCACCGCACCTTCTTTTGGCACATATAGCGACAGATTATTACAATTGAGTTATGAAAGAAGGCATATTCATAGTGAATTTAATCAAACAAACCAGAACAAGTATCTACTTTCCAAGTAGTGTTTTCTCAACAGATCTCTGGCACATTGGGTCATATAAAAGCTTTCATATAATAAACACGAGCTGGTATATTTATCCAATGCATGCAACGAATCATATTAGCAATCTTTGTTGACCGGCATGACCGTTCCGATAGACACCAGGGACTGCATATATGTAATATTCTTGATCTGAAAATCACTTCTGTTTCCGTTTCTAAAAAATATAAGAAAGTCTCCATCGATTCACCCCTTCGTAGCTACACGAGTTTTCAAAACTCACCTTTTAAAATGATTAAAAGACACTTGAGACTTTCTGGAAAAACATTTCTGAAAATAATGTCACATTTTTTTTATATATTCTTAAACTGGCTTAAATGTTTTTAATGCCAAATTTGATTTCTTATCGTTTCTTTTGGTTTCAGACTAATATATGACCTGGACATTTTTTCATGAGATTCACCAGTAATTATTGGCTCCAGCTGGTTATTCGTTTGATTTCCAGTCATTGAATTATCTGATGTTTCGTTTCCTTCTGTTGATTGTGTCTCAAACGTTCCTATCATCCCTCCTCAACTGTTCTCATCATCAAACTGTTTCTCTCCAGCTCATCCAGTGAACAGAAAACATTCACACACTTTCTCAAAAAAAACTCTAGTCTCAGCTGAACTTTCCTCTAATACAACTTGGCTTTTGAGAGCACGTTTCATGGCACCATCGTTTTAACCTGACCAGCAACGTCATGTGGGGATGTCGAGAGACAGACACATTAACCTGAACCACACAAATAATAATAATAAAATGTTATCGGACAGTATATTTTCTCAATTTTATTACTATAATGAGAATTATTTTTTGGTTAACACAATAATGGAAAAACATTTCTGAAAATAATGTCACATTTTTTTTATATATTCTTAAACTGGCTTAAATGTTTTTAATGCCAAATATGATTTCTTATCTTTCCTTTTGGTTTCAGACTAATATATGACCTGGACATTTTTTCATGAGATTCACCAGTAATTATTGGCTCCAGCTGGTTATTCGTTTGATTTCCAGTCATTGAATTATCTGAGGTTTCGTTTCCTTCTGTTGATTGTGTCTCAAACGTTCCTATCATCCCTCCTCAACTGTTCTCATCATCAAACAGTTTCTCTCCAGCTCATCCAGTGAACAGAAAACATTCACACACTTTCTCAAAAAAAACTCTACAGTCTCAGCTGAACTTTCCTCTAATACAACTTGGCTTTTGAGAGCACGTTTCATGGCACCATCGTTTTAACCTGACCAGCAACGTCATGTGGGGATGTCGAGAGACAGACACATTAACCTGAACCACACACACACACACACACACTCACACTCACACTCACACTCACACTCTCTCTCTGTCAGTCAGGCATCTTTCTAGCTGAAGAGCTTGATGAAGCAGCCCTGGCAGTAAGGCTTGTCGTTTTGCTCTTTGAAGGTGCCCTTGTTGAGCTGCTTGAGGCAGAAGGCACAGACAAAGTGCTCAGGATGAAACTTCTTGCCCATGGCTGTGATGCAGCGGCCCGTGATGGGTTTCTGACAGCCGGAACACAGCGACCCGCGGCGGGAGTGATAATGAACCTCACAGTACGGCTGACCGTCGTGCTCGAAGAAACTGCCGTTGACGAAGGGTGTGAAGCACTCCTGAAACACACACACAACAAAACCACATGACTACTCATAAACGCCTCATTATGCTTATTTATTTTTATGCCAAGAAGTCTCTGCTGCTCACTAAGGCAGCATTTATTTTTTTTAATTCAAAATACAGTAAAAACAGTAATATTGTGAAATATTTTTACAATTTAAAAATGATGCAAAGCTGACTTTTCAGCATCATTCCTCCAGTCTTCAGTGTCACATGATCCTTCAGAAATCATTCTAATATGCTGATTTGCTGCTCACATTATTTGTTTTTACTGTATTTTTTAATCAAACGAAATGAAATTACTCCAAACTTTTGACCAAGTGTATATGGGTCAAAGACGAAAAAGGGTTTAAGCATAAAAACAATAAGTGTAATACTGCTTTAAATTGTTGTTGTTCTTCCCCAAAAAATAAAAAAAGTTTTCTCTTTAATTTAACGGCAATTTAGTTTTTGTTTTTCCAAGCAAAAAATAAATATCATACATTCTTCCCTGATTTACAGAAGACACCCACTAAAATGTCATTCAGTGTAACAATCTTGTCAGGCATATTTACAACAAAAATCAATTTATGACATATCAAAAGACTAATTAATTACCTTCACCCCAAATACTAATTAGTTGTAATTTTACATTAAAAAAATGTGCCACTATCCTAGGTTTTTCACATTGGTCAGTAAGAATTTTTTACTCATATAAAACGCAATCAAATTTAATATGCTCCCTTATTCTTTTATATATTTTAATGTGTACACGTCAGAATAAGCATGTTGTTTGAATTTTCACATAAATATTGTGTTACACTGAATGACAATATAACATTATTTCAACCAAATTTTTTTGGTTTTGTATTTGAAACCTTAATAGACACTTTACTTATATTTAATGTGCTTTCTATGGACATAAAACTACTTTAGTATATTTCTTTTGACGCGGATCTTAACGACTTTGACCCATATTCAAAACTAACGCAACAGACCACTCAAAAAAAATGAGAAATCTTTTATTATCATATACTCACCCTGCACACAAAACACTCTGGATGCCAGAGGGCGCTCAGGGCAGAGATGTAATTCTCCAGGATGGCACGAGCACAACCGCCACATTTAGGAGCAAACAGGTCGAAGTAGTCTTTACGACAGTACGCCTTTCCATCCTTCTCATGAAATCCTGAAAAACAGAACAAAGATGTATTCACTAATACAAACAAAAAAAGAGATAAGCGGTCAACAGTTTCGTCAAAAAGTCTCAGATTTCTATTTTGCATTATATTTTATTACAAATTATATAACCAGCATAGTTTGAGTGCGGAGTTCTTTTTAATTACAGTATTAGTTTTGTCGCTCTTTTAAGTTTAAAGGGCATCTATTATGCTTTTTGGATTTTTAATGTTGCTGTTTGTGCATATAAATAATCTGCAAAATGTAAATACATGTAAATGTATTCTAGCAGACCCCAAAAATAAAATTACAAACTTGCAAATGAGCAAAATATGGGTACTTTGATGACAGCAGCCACTGGACTCTTCTGTAAGTGCTTACTCACCTTCAGGACCAAAGAACGCCCCACACTGGGCACAGAAAAAGTGCTCAGGATGCCACGTCCTGTCTAACGCCGTCACCACTTTCTGTGAGGTGAGAACAATTTAATCATCTGTAGCAGGTTGTCAATTACCACAGGAACAATAATCACTTACAATGTAAGTGGCACTAAATAAGTGGATACACAGGCTGACATAATAAACACTGGCTTTGTTCACACTGAACACAAATCCGGCCACATGTAAATATAGATTGCATCGACTGAGGAAACATTATATTTAATGTGCATATTCTGTCAAGTTTGTTCTCACATCCAGTATGGGTCCGTTACAGTAATGGCAGCGCGGAGAGAATAAATGGTGGTAATCTCTCTCACAGTATGGCTGTCCTTCCCTCTCAAAGAAGTTTCTGGAACCAATCTCCTCCTGGCAGTGTGTGCACACAAAATGCTCTGGATGCCATGTGCGCCCCATGGCAGTTACCACCTGTACAGAAACACACACACACATGCATCCTTTGTTTAGATGTGTCTAACACAGCATGTAATCTTAGCTGAAAGCTAAAATCCTATATGTTTGTGGTGTAACTCTCTGGCTCTCTCACCTGGCCAACAATGGGTTTGCAGCAGGCGCCACACACTCCCTTAGCAACCGTCTGCACTCCCAGCTTGTGGAGGTCAGACTGAAGACTGCCCAGCATGTTGTCCAGTTTATTAACCTGTGGTTGTGGACCCTTCCCCTGGGCCATAATCTAAAGAGAGATAGAACAAAAGATCAAGAATAAAAAAAATCTTCAATGCAAAAAATAATTAAAATACAAGCACAAAACACAAGCACCTAAACAAATCAACAAGATGACAGTTTCTGAAGGAACAGAATTGGTTATGTAATTACTATAATAATATGTTCATTTCTTTCAAGTTACAGTTCTTGATCACATAAATATAAAATCTGGTGTTTAGCGTATTTAAGATTTCATGACACTAATAACAACATAATATAGAAAATAACTAAACCAACCACATCATTCTCAGAACAAATATTTACACCCCTAAGCAATACACAAGGTATCTGCAGAATTCAAATGTAAGACTTTTAAAGACCTTTTTTAAGACCTGTACAAATAAAATGTATATCATATGCCTGAGGTAGGGCAATGTCTATGGTAACATTACACTGTGAAATGACTGTAAAAACCATTACAGTTCAGATACAGGTATTCACAAAAACTAAAAGACTGATAAACTTCACATTTCAGCCTTTAAACCATTGCTAAGAAAATTGATGAATCAAAAGTAATTATTATATTAATTTAAACAATTATTATCAAACCATTATATTCATTAAATAACATATAAATATATTTTACTGTCTTAATCCACCAGTCAACCCACAATCCACCTGTCCTTGATCCACCAGTTCACATTTACAACTGCGTGTATGCAGCATAACAACATGGGTTGATTTTCACATGCAAAGTCGTATAATGCATGGCAATAGTAACAAAATCTATGAGAGTAAAAAAAAACATGCACAGACAAATCCAAATTAAACCCTGCGGCTCGTGACGACACATTGATGTCCAAAGACACGAAACGATCGGTTTGTGCCAGAAACCAAAGAGTATTCATATAATTTTTTACCTCTAATACAGCACTATGTCCAACTGTCTTTGAGCGCGCGCACGGCATCCGGTGCGTGAGGTGTGTACGCGCTCTGGCGTAGTTTACGCAAGATCCGGAAGTGATCTCTCGCACGTATACGTCACTCATTGTTTACACAGTGCACAGTCATTGAAGGTACGACGGCTAATCAAAATGGTACTTACTTACGCTTATCCGGATTGTTCAAACCGACTTAAAACTAAAAGATTACGTTCTCTCGCGCAAACTCATTCGGGAGTGGTGACTTTCCACGTATTCCCAACTTCTGAGCCTGCTCGCCTGAAGTTATGGTTGATTGCTCTTCGGCTGGATATCAACACACCCATTAACATAAACTACCTCACGCACCGGATGCCGTGCGCGCTCCCAAAGACAGTTGGACATAGTGGTGAATTAGAGGTAAAAAAAATTATATAAATACTGTTTCAAGTCCTCTTGAAATGATAATTAACCCTTTCCCCGTCATTGACGAGTTATCTCGTCTTATAGAAGACAACGCTTCCCCGCCAAAGACGAGTTTTTACGGCTTTTTGTGTTTTCACTGTTATACACTAGGGAGCGCTTTTACACATCTTCTGAACGAGTACAAAACCTCCCGAACAAAAACACATGTGTACAGGACGGAGAAACGAGTGATCTCTTATGTAAACAGATGCATATGAAAAATAATGCGATCATCAGCAATAGACAGCATATAAATGAAAACTGCATAACGTTACAGAGTAAAATGTTGATCCAGGAAGTGATGTCTGTGCAAGCTTTGGAGGTATTGATGGAAGCGATTTACTGGATTTATGCTTTGATAATCGTACTGAATATTACCCAGATGTAGTTTTTGATAAAAATTAGATTTTCTCACCTTTTTGCTCAAAATATGCATTTTTATGAAACCTACCTATATTCAAGTGTTGATAAAAAAAGAATGCTTTAAGCTAGAATAAAACTGATTTTTTTGTTTAAAAGTAGAGGCTCTTATCTTTATTGTGGTGTATTGCATATTCAAATATTCATACAGAAAAATATTCTGGAGGCCATCAAATTTGAGTGAAAATCATCAAAATCGCTGGCGGTGACTGGCAACTTTTTTCAAAAATGCTGGAGGGGAAAGAGTTAAGACTTTATTAATGGCCTTAAATTTGATACAACTAAATTTAAGCCTTTTTAAGGCTTAAACGAGTTCTTGTTTGAAACTCTCCCTGGGGCGCATCTAATGTAATCTAATATTTATGACCAGGGTAGGAGGCTGAGCACACACAAACACACACACACAACATCTCCAAGCTCAAGCATACAACATTAAATTTACAAATCCATAGAAGTTTTGTGATTATTCTAGAAGAGGACAGTAAAACAGAAGCTTAGCCAATGACAGCATGTCTGCACCTGCAGCGGAGGGAAGAGTGGGTCATACTCCGTCTGGCAGCCAACTGACATCAGCACTTTGGGCAGGGCCACAGGGGCAGGCGGTGGGGTGGGTGTGGGTTGGGGTGGAGGGTTGGCTTTTGGGGAGGGAGCAGGAACTTTTACAGGTTCAGGGGTCGGGGGCTTGGGTGGAACTGGAGGTGGAGTTGGCTGGGGAGGAGGTGTGGGCTCTCTAGGAGGTGGGGAGGGGGTAGGTGGTGGGGGTGGCGGCATAGGGGCAAGGGGGGGGGGGGGGGGGGAGGGATGGGGGGAGACTGGGGAGGTGGGATCACCTTCCTCTGAGGAAGAGGAGACTCAGGAGGTATGATTATCTAGAGGACGACACCAATAAGAAAGAAGAAGAGAGAGAAAGAGATGGAAAGCAGGAATGAAGAAGAAAAAAGCAGGTGATTACAGAGAAACGTCAATGCAATTAAGCAAAATAATTTTACAGGAATTGAATGGAGTGGAAAAAGAATGTGCTGAATCCGTAGATCCTTCACGTCTACCTTATCCACCTCCGTGTTGTGGTCTTCCCGTGAGCGTTTGGGGTTGGACATGACAATGACGCCTTCTGTGAGCCAGTCATCTGGCTGTTGCTTTTTTGGACGATCCTTACGGGCAATTCCCAGCTTGCCTTGCAGTTCATCAATGAGCCGGTCCTGGGAATTACTCTTGTGGAAAATGAGGGGGCCCATCTTCCTACGTATCAGGCCGTCTCGGTACATGGGATGGACGTTTTGAATCTCCTTGGTACGTCTAATCACAGATTTGATCTGGGACAGCAGTACAAACTCCTTGAGATGCCACATGACTCAAGAATTATTGATTATTGTTCAAAGAAACTAATAAAGGCAAGCAGGGATCTAGGGAAGCATTCAGATGCAATCCAGGTGCAAAATCATTTTGCATGAAAAAGTTGGGCGTTTGCATACATGGTGGTGGTTAGCACTGGTTATCAAGTTACTATTTATCATCAAGTGCACAAAGGTACCACCAGTACCACTGGTTATCAAGCGCACACACAGCAACATTTAAGTACTTACAATTACAATTTACCATAAATGGAGTGAAAACTAAATAATTAGAGTAAGGATAACTCAGTATTTCAGGGTGTAGAGCAACAATTATGACTTTTATCCATCTGACTAACAGGTTTTAATTACATCAGGCTTGTTCAATCTTGTATCTGGATGGCCACTTTCCTGCACATTGTAGCTCCAATACACTTGCCTGGAAGTTTGTAGTAATGCTGAAGACCTTGATTAGCTGGCTCAAGCTAAACTCTGCAGGAAGGTGGCCCCCCCAGGAGCAGGATTTGACACCCCTGATTTACATGCTGGCAATCAAACCACTGCAAGACTTGTCTGTAAAAACTCCAAACCAAATTCCACAGCATTCCAATCAACAAGCATTGCAGTCCTATCCGTACGTGTCCAGAGGCTGAGATCCTGTCCATTGTGCCAGCCGTATGCAGCATGGGAAGGTCCATCTGGGCATCTGGGGTTCCAGGGCAAGACGATGGAGTAAGAGAGCCATCCATCCAACTTGCCTCGGTCATTGGGGTCATGGAGCCATCAGGTCCTTCGTAGGCCATCTTCAGTTCCATGTCAGCCCAGTCAAGATCACTCCTGCAGTCCGACTGATCCTCCAAGAACCCGTCCCCCATTTCGCTCTCTGTATGAGTGTCAGGATGAATGTTGCTGCGATCCGCTGCTACTATTGTCTCCTCGTAGACTTCTGGTTGTACTTCCGAAGTGAGCCGTGAGGCCGCTGATGTGGTGATTAGAGCCTCGTTCTCAGGCATGCTGAAGCTCATGGCAAGGAGTTTATCCAAGGCATCATCAAGACATGGCTCATAGGTTGGTGGTTGAAGGCCAGCAGGAGGCTGTCCTGATAATGGTTTTGGGCTTGAAGACTTGGGAACCACTACAGACGAGGACGAGGATAGGATTAGAGGGGGTGATACAGCTTTGGGAAGAGACAGAAATGGTGATTCATAGACTGTAGGAAGTGGAGATCTGGAAAGAGATGTCATTGGACTTATAGGTTTTGCTTCAGAGTTGGAGAGATACAGATCAATTGATGCTGGTGTCATCAATGGGCTAACTCTTTCATTGGTTCTGCTGACCACTGGGGCACTTGTTGGACAAGGAGACTTGGTGATAGGCGAATAGGCCTTCAGTCCAGAGCTTGCCAATTTGGCAGAAGGACTTCCCTCCCAGAAACTACAAAGGTCTCCACTTTCAGATGTGGTAGTGGTGGTTATAGTCTGAGACAGAACCACTAGAGATTCCACCTGGGAGGACAGCAGGGAAGAAGAGACATCAATGGAAGAATCCAAGCCCAGGTCAGGTACTGGAGAAAAACGAGGACTGGATGCTACAGGTGGAGACAGTCGAGAGGAAGGCTTTGGGACAACACTGGACGGTGGAGGCACAGCCCCCGGTTCAAACTCCACAATGTGCAGTTCAAAGTTTAAAGGAGAGGAGAGACCAGGGGAATATCGTCTTGGTTCCACTGGGAGGGTAGGGGACAGGGATTTGGACACGGCAGTCGTAGGAGGAGGGTGGATTTCAGCAATGGTAGTAGTTTGCTCAAACATTGGCTCAGAGTTCAGTGAGCCCAAAGAACTTGGCTGGAGGACATTAAGGAGGGACAGGGGAAGAAAGAGGAGAAACAGAAGAGAGTGACAGATTAAGGAAAGCAGAGAATGAGAAATAATTAAGAAAAAGCTTTAATGAGATATACAAAACAGCTGAGGAAAAAACAAAACAGATTCTGGATGCAATGTTGAAGTAATGAGATGAAATTAAAGCTAGAATTCATAGACAAGCAGGAAAAGATTTGCAAATAAATAAACTGGTTGTGATGGTCAGATCAAGACCAGCCAGGGTAGTGTTTCCCAACAGCGCCGTAAGCCCAAGAAGATTGTAGACACCATTGGCACAAATGGTCTCAACGATCTACTTACAACGTTTTTGGGAAACGCAAGCCCAGATTGTCAAGCAGTAAGTCCTGAAAATAGATCAGCCAAACAACATAGTTCAGCACACATTCCCAGACACAACGTCTCTTCAACTCACTTACACCGTCCTGTAAGTGTCACATACACACACTCACACACTCACATTGCTCTGCACCTTAAAATCTGACAGGCAGGCCATGAGCTCATCCAGTTCTCGTGTAGCGGAGGTGGCTGATATTCTGCCTTGCTGCTCGGAAGGTGTGTCCACCAGCCCATCTGTCAATTCCCTCGTCAGAGCACAGGGGCTTGGCCTGTTTATGTAAGTTACAGCATTCCATTAAAATCCTCAATGCAAATCCATGTTTCTCCATCTACAGCTGAGAGAGATCTTACGTTGTGGAAGGCACAGAGCTCTCCAAATCATTCAGAAGACTTTCCACAGTGGGACGGCCATCATCTGTCCCCTTCGTTCCATTCCTCTGAGGCTTGTCCTGGGCTGCCGGTGTCAGTGTGATGCCTGGGTGGGCTCCATTTTCCTGGATATAGTGGGCAACACTGCAGGGGGGCAATGGAGGTGCAACATCTTCTGCAAAGAGGAAGTTTCAAAGTACGATTACATGTTTTTTTTATATCTTTATCCATAATCAAAGCAGTACAGCGGGTAAAATAACTACTGAACACGTCACCATTTTTCTCAGTAAATATATTTCTAAAGGTGCTGTTGACTTGAAAGTTTCATCAGATGTCGGTAACAACCCAAGTAATCCATACATACAAAGAAAACATAAATAAGTTCAGAAATTAAGTTGTGTGTAATAAAATGGTATGACACAGGGGAAAAGTATTAAACATATGAAGAAAGGGAGGTGTAAAAAGGCATGGAAAGCCAAGACACCAGCTCTATCAGTAATTAGAAAGCAATCCTGCCCCTTGCCAGTGGAAATTAATATTAGCTGGTTCAGTCCCAACACCTACAGTACCAGGATGATGAAGATGAAACAAGATTGGACATTTCAGCAAGACAATGATCCCAAACACAGCCAAGGAAACTCTCAAATGGTTTCAGAGAAAGAAAATAAAGCTGCTAAGCTGCCCAGCCAATCACTTGACTTGAATCTAATAGAAAATAGGAACTAAATATCAGAGATTATAGAAGAGGCCCACAGAACCTTCAAGATTTGAAGACTTTGTGGAAGAATTGGCCAAAATCACACCTGAGCAATGCATGCGACTAGTTTCTCCATACAGCGTCTTGAAGCTGTCATTACCAACAAAGCCTTTTGTACAAAGTATTAAATACATTTCAGTAGTTCAATATTTTTTCCCTGTGTCATTCCATTTTATTACACATAACTTAATTTCTGCACTTATTTGTTTTGTTTTATTTGTATGTATGGATTACTTGGGTTGTTACCGACATCTGGTGAAAAATTTCATGTCAGCAGCACCTTTAGAAATACATTTACTGGAAAAAATGGTGAAGTGTTCAATACCTATTTTACCCGCTGTACAAATATTCATGCATGGCAATACATTTTTCAGAATGCCTTAAGTGTGTCTTCATCTTTACCTGTAGTGGAGTAAGATGGGGCATTTTGCTGTACAGCGTTGAGTTCCAGAAGAAGGCGGTCCAGTTCAGACAGGTTGCTGCCCAGGGCAGAAGTCATGGCTGCGGCCGATGAGTCGGAGTGCTTCTGCTTGTTAGGAAAACTGGACCAATAGAAGTGTGCCATTTAGGGTTTGATTTTTCATAATAGCAGGACATGGGCAAATGGAAGGGATATTATGGTGGATCACACCACAGAGTGACATATTTAATACCCATTTTGTTTAACTATTATCAGTACGAGCTGTCAATTCCCATCTGTGATACTGTAACTCACCTGTAAACGTGGTCTTCTTCTGTATGCGAGGCTGGTGGGCTGCTGTCCCGAGACAATGTGCTTTTATGAGCAGAGCCCAGAGACTAAATTTTAACACAAGAAAAAACAAAATGCATAATGTTTTATGCACATCTATATTGCAAATGTAATAAATCACTGATTCTCAACTGGTGTGGCACAGTCCAAAATGGACTGGGCTGGGCCAGTTGAGTTTATTTTCAGTAATTTTATTTTAATACATTTCAAATTTTATGTGTATATGTGTATAAAGCATAATATGAAATGTAAATCCTTATTTTAATTAAAATATTTTAGTTGTATACATGCATATCAAGTGACCATTAACCAGAAAATGAGTAGTCATTAATCAGAGAACTGTAAACATGTGTTGTTAAATTCTGGAAACATTAACTCAAAATCTCAAGGGAACTTCAGGTAAATATTTTAGGTCAAAGTGTCTTGGCTGACAAAAAAGTTGGTGACCCAACACAGTAACAAAATTGTTATATTAAGTCAAGGATTCCCAAAATGAATGCCCAATGTAAAATCTGGGTACTAAGTAAAATCAGATGAGAACCCCAGGTAAAGTGCAGATCATAAAATATTTGCACACATTAGCAATAACAAGACACACTGAGGTGTTATGAATACTGACTAGCTTATTTTGGAAAGTCCTAAGATAGGTTGTGCCGAACCTGTTGCGAGGAGTGCTGGGAGTCCGGCCGCGGGGACAGCGATCCGTTCAGGGCCTCAGATGTGGGTGGAGGGGGCAGGGGCGGAGGAGGGGAGTCATCCTGAAAAAGGTGCCCTCCGGTGGGGTAGGAATATGGTGTCTCCTCAGGAAGAAACACTGGGCACTTGGAGATATGGGCGGTGGAAGACTCGAGATCTGCAAGCAAGGCGTCTGTGCAGAAAGAAGAAACAGAAGTTAGTAAAGGTTTCTCCAAGAAGTTTAGTTTTGCATGACTTTTGCTGCTCTCCCTCTCACTACCATAATATAAGTCTGTTTTGCTGTTCTGATGAATGTTAAGTGTCACATTTTACATCAAATGAATTTGTTTCAAAATATGAAGAAAAATGTCCCTTTAAATTACAAAATGCAAATATACCACCAATCAAAAGTTTGGGGTTGGTAAGAGTTTTTATTTTTTTTTCTTAGAAAGTCTCTTCTAGTCACCAAGGCTGCATTTATTTGATCAAAAATACAATAAAAACAGTAATATTCTGAAATATTATTACAATTTAAAAGAGCTGTTTTCTATGTGAACATATTGTAAAATGTCATTTATTTCTGCAAATCTGAATTTTCATTACTCCAGTCTTCAGTCACATGATCCTTCAGAAATCATTATAATATGCTGATTTGCTGCTTAAGAGATATTTGTAATTATTGTCAATGTTAATAATAGTTGTGATGCTTAATGTTTTTGTAGAAACTGATATCATTTCTTTTTCAAAATTATTCAATTCAATTCAATTCAAAAGTTTATCTGTACAGCGCTTTTCACGATACAAATCGTTGCAAAGCAACTTTACGGCAAATTAAGTTTCTACAATATTTAGTGGTAGCTTATCAGTGGTGACTATGTCTGTTAATGTACATATGGCAGAAATGTACGGAAAAATCAATTAAAGACGTAATCAAACAGACGATGAACACTATTAACAGCAATTATTATATGATGCAATCAAACTTATAGCAAAATGTGGTAGGTAGCTAAATTATTTGATGACTAAAAGGTTTAAACATTTTTGTAACATTATAAATGTCTTCACTGTCACATCCTTGCTAAAAAAAAGTATTTATTTCTCAATGGTAAGTTTGCAAAAAAATCTATAATAATTTTAAAGTAATAAAAACTCTAATGCAGCTAGACACATGATTAAAGGGGAAAGTCTCTGAGAACAATGAACAACAGGCTTTAAAATAAGACATGAGCATGATATTTCTCTCTAGCAGAGAGGGAGTGTGAGGGTCTTCAATCACAGATATGATGTTTGCTTGTGTGAGTCAGCCGGGCATTCCAACCTTTCTAAGCATCCTCAATCATGTTACTAAATACAGTCCTTCAGCGGCAGCTATGCCAGTCCTGATGCAGCTGTAGCGCCAGAACCAAAGACCCTCTCAGAGGGGTTTTTCTCACAGAAACAAAACAGAAAATCAGTTTGGGTCGGTTGAAATACACAAGAGGGGTTTTATGTGGTCCACTTTTTGTATGATGCCATAAAATAGTCCTTAACTACAGCACAAAGTTGTTTTATTTAGCTTAGTTGGGTCATTGTCTCTGCATTGTGTCAACTGGCAGGTAAAAGCCTGTTGTGACGGACCGCAGAGACCCTGTCAACACATCCGTCACGCTGAGCTTATGTCACCACACTCTTCTGGTCCTGCAGTAAGAGTTGAGCTATGAACACAGTCTGTCCCTCAGGAACAGACCCGTCAATATGAGGAACTGTGACAGGCGTTCACTTCACTACTAGGGATGAGATGCATAACAATATGCATGTTTAAAACATCCAACATAATACAGAAAACTACAGTCCAGTCTGCAAATGCTGCTGTTGCTTTATTGAGTTTAACAGGAGCAATAGATTTTTGAATCTTCATACTGTTGTGGTCACTTTTGGTTTAGACAGGTTTACAGTTGCCACACGTCCCAATACGGCACATTGTAGACAGAATTCAACCACTGTGCATTTAATATTCGTATAAACGTCTTTGAATGGGACCAAACTAATCATACTTAAAATATGACTTTGTTTGAATTGTTCATTTTTAGTTATACTACATTGAAAAAAAAATTGCCGTAGAAACAATTTTCACTCAGAAATTGCTGGTAAATTTCACACATAGTTACAAAGAAATAGCAAGCAACACTGAATTAAACATTAAATTTTGTAACAGAAAGACTGAAATAGTATTTTCATATAAAACATAATCCAATCATTTTTGTTTTATTATGTAAATCGTTTTAAATAATAATTTTTTACAGTGTATTAATAGGCTACTATAAATAGCAGTTTACATATTATTACATTGTAAAAATTGGTGTTGAAACAATTTTCACTTCAGAAATTTCTGGTAAATTTGACAAATAATTACAAAGCAGCAGCAAGGAATACATTGAATTAAATGTGAAATTGTCAACTAGAAAGACTGAAGTTGTATTTTCTTACTTCAATAATCTATGTTTTACTTGTTTTATGTGCCAATAATAGTACTTTGTGCACTGACTATTAATAAATTTAAACGTATTTTAAACGTTTGCATCCATCATATTTAATTATTCTTTATTTGTACAGTATTTAATTCAATTGGATTATCCCAAAATTGCCATTATTTAATAGTTATGTATTATTTTAAAAACATTTTTGGGTTGAATTTACCTTCGTCATTATAGATTTCGGTCACACAGTTCACCCCTGTGAATCCAGGGTTACACTTTATTTTGATGCTCCCCTTTAGACATTCTGTTGACTATAAGTAACTTTGCAACTACATGTCAAAAGCTCCATTAGAGTGTTAGTAGACTGGTATGTTATGGTTACACTTTAGTGTTAGTAGAATAAGTTGACATGCTTGCAAAGTAACATAGTCAGCCAAGTGTCTAAGTGTTACCAAATCCAGCCTGTCCTTTACGTACAACCATTACACCCTTCACAGAGTTGCCAACAAAAACTTTGGAAAGACAGACAGAGAGTCAGACAGAACTACAGACATGCAGCTTGTCTAAAACGCCCTGCTAAAGCTCTTACCTCACTCTTTTCTCATGCACCTATTCATCCATCCATGGGGACAATAATAGCCTGCACATAGCGTACAGGCAGAGATCTCTTCTGTTAAAGTTCGGAGTGACGCTGGCGTCCTGACAGCACAGCCAGACACCCGAGCTACTGGAACTCTTCCTCAAAGTTTACGAGTCGACACATCAAAACCAACCTCACAGCAGACGGCTATTAAAAACGTGATGGTTGCAGATCAACTATGATGAGAGGGTAAATGAACACCTAGAAAGATCACAGATGAGCGTACAACTCTGAGATCCCAACAGTGTTAGTTAACAGACACAGGGTTCATGCAAAACATGGTAATATCAGGAAAGATAAAAATAGTTTTCATGATTTTTAAAAGAATTTCTTTTTTTCCCACTTTTTTTTGCATGCATGCTACTGTTACATGTATGCTGAACATAACAAAGTTCATGTGTATAATTTCAAAAATGAATAAAATGTTACCACAAAAACACAAAGCACAAAACGGTTTAAAAAAAATTATATTGTCAAATTGTTACGCTCAGTTCTAAAATAGTGGATAGACATGACTGATTTGATTCATTCAAAAGAGCAAACCAGTCTGAATGATTCATTGGGAAATCCATCTAAACATGAATGACTTTAAAGATTCGCAAGCGAATCATTCTGAATCTAATCGCATTAATAATGGAAACAGAATTATTTCTAGAAGTCTCTTAAGCAGTAATCACAAACAACTAGTCATGGACATTCACAACTGGCACAAAACATTAACTTGGTTAGTATTTCGGTAAACTTGAAACCAGTGGTGTGAAGTAACGAATTACAAATACTCACGTTACAGTAATTAAGTAGTTTTTTTTAGTAATTGTTCTTTTTTGAGTAGTTAAAAAATTGTGTACTTTTACTTGAGTAAATTTTAAGTGATGTATCGGTACTTTTACTCCGCTATTTTTCTTCATTTGTGGTCGTTAAATGCTTATTTAAATTTTATTTTTATCCATCAACGTGATTGGATAGAAGAACTTGTTGACTTTTGATGAGTTTGAGCACGTGATGCGTGCTGTGAAAAAGTGTGGACCAAATCTGCACCTTATTGATGACCCGTGGTGTTAATATACTACATCTGTGCCAGCACGTGATGTAATAAAACCGCAGCTCGTTAATAAACTTTTTTTTTTTTTTTTTTCCTTTTTATACAATCCGCCTTCTTTTAGCAAGTGCACTCGCGCATAAACAATTTTCAAGTTCAACACTTTTTGTTCCGTTCAGTTGTGGATGCTGCTGATTCACCGAGACCGCCGCGGCTCAGCAAAGAGACGTGTGTGTGTGTGTGTGTTTTCCTTTGAAAAAGTTTCCCCAGAAATACCTCGCTATTTAATGCATTTTTCCTTAGAGATTGTATTATCAGCGTAACAATTCAAGTAAATGTGTAAAAGGTATGGCATGAATTTGCCATCCTTCTAAAACAATGTGCATTTATGTTAAAATTGTAACATAAATTATCAAGTTTAGTTATTTTTATTTCTTTATTGCAAAACACTAAAACTGGCACCGTTTTGGAGAGAAATGGGCTCTCATTTTAACCCATATCATGGTGTGTGATGCTGAACTATGAGTTTCTAATGGTGTTTGTATTTGCACTGTTCTAAACATTAATATTTTATGTGCAACAACAGCATATGCTCTCTCAGTGGCCTTACACATGATTTTAAATCTATTTTTTCAAACTTTATGATTTAAATGGGGATGATTGTACTGAGAATAACTTTCATCTTTTCTTCAACTGAATACTGTTTCCGTGCTGTTTTGATGTATTTTAAAGAGTTGGCAGTCAAAATTAAAACTGCTGGATGAAAGATATTCTTCATTCTTTATGACAAATAAGATAATGTGAATTACAGAATGTACAACATTTTTTAAATGTATCAATTGTGGTGTACAGCGTTTATTATGAGGGGGTAGAATCCACAGCTCAGTACTACTCACTACTCATGAGTACTTTTAAATAGGTTACTCTTTTACTCTTACTCAAGTAATTTTTTGGACAAGTACTTTTACTCTACTCACACTACATTTTTTGGAAGGTAATGGTACTTTTATTTGAGCATATTTTTTCAATACTCTTTCCACCACTGCTTGAAACACAGC